AAAGAATTTGCGAAAAATGCACTCTGATATTTATGGAAAAGCGGGGTGTTACAGTTTTACTGTTATGTGTTGGAAAAGGTGTATTACTTGTTGATATCACTTTCTTGGAAGACTTTCTCGAAAATTATCCCACCAGTGAGGCCTTGGAAAGCCGTATTTGCTAATGCAGCTTATGCTGCAGAGGATATCATCGAATTCCATGTGCTCGACCAAATCGTTCCCCCACCCACGAGCCGCGGGCCCATCTCCACATTCGACTTCAATCGGCGTCTCGAACGGGTTATGCAAGATTTCGAGACTATCAAGAGAGAGGTCGCTAACGGTAAAGAGAAATCGGCGGTGGTCGAGCGTAAAATATAAATATCTTCCGGTTCGATAAAATCCAATCTTGTGAGGCATGACACCAGGTTGGATGATCTCAGGCTCGACATCTTTGATAAGCTCACCGGAGGATCGTGCGGCCGTCAAATCATACCGATTGTCGGCATGGGTGGCATAGGTAAGACCACTCTCGCTAGAAATGTTTATTCAGACTCGTGCGTTAAGCATCATTTCGATGTTCTTGCATGGGCCACGATTTCTCAAGAGTACGACGCGAAAGAAATTCTTCTCGAGCTACTTGTTTGTCAGAAAGACAATGCAGGTAGCAAGGAGAGCATGAGCCACATGAGCGAACACGAATTAGGCGAAATGTTGTACAAGATTTTAGTAGGTCGGAGGTATTTGATTGTACTGGACGACTTATGGAGTATCGAGTCGTGGGATAAGATGAAGTTCTTTTTTTCTGATAATGATAATCAGAGTAGGATGATGATGACAACTAGGCTGTCGAACCTGGCTTTCGAGATAACAGGTACTCATGGCTATACGATAAGTTTGCTGGACGAGGACAAAAGTTGGGAACTACTTTGTAAAACTGTGTTTGGAACGAACCTTGCCCGACAGAATTCGAAATAATAGGAAAGAAGATTGCCGAAAATTGCAAAGGACTTCTTTTATCAATCGTCGTGATCGGTGGACTCCTCGCAAAGACAAAACTGGCACAGGAACAGTACTGGCAGCACATAGCAGAGAATCTCAACTCAATCGTGAAAACAGAGAACGACAAACGCTACTCGAAAATACTTCAAATGAGTTACGACCAATTGCCTGTTCACCTAAAGCCGTGTTTTCTCTACATGGGAGTGTACCCTGAGGACTGTGAGATTCATGTCTCTAAACTCATGAAGCTATGGGTTGCCGAGGGATTTCTAAAGTCGATCACCGGTAAAAGCCTTGAACAAGCTGCAGAAGAGTACTTCAATGAGCTCATTGTTTATCCCATTTTTGTTGCATTTTTTGTTATTATTTTCTCATTCTTTTTCCCCCATATTTGAGTCATTTAGTTGGTTTTTCATTTTGTCTTTTATTGTGTGTTTTGTGTTATCTTGAGTGCCCCGGTAATTTTTATGTTTTTCCGATAGTCTTCCGTTTGTGTTTTCATTTTTTGGTGTGTAGGTCGGGAGCTTCGGGAGAACAGGTTTCTGGGAAATTTTTGGGGAAGTTTACATCATTAGATAGAGTGATTCGTTGGCTACGCGTAGAAAAAAATGAAATCGAATTCCATGTCCGAACGAGCGTAAATGAGCCCGAGACGCGAAGAAGGGCAAGCTGCCAGGCACCGCGCGCGCACCACGACCCGGACAGAGACACCCAGAAAGCCGCGACACCCAGCACGGCGTGGAAAATCAGTCCCTCACGGCGCGATACGTTACCACGGCGCGACGCAGCCTCCCTTCGCGCTGCGAGACACCTTCATGGTGCGACACCACA